TGCCTCAGCCTCCCTAGTAGCTGGGATTACAGGTGTGCACAACCACGCCTGGCTAATTTTTGTATTTTTAGTAGAGACAGGGTTTCACCATGTTGTCCAGGCTGATCTTGAATCTGCCCACCTCAGTCTCCCAAAGTGCTGGAATTACAGACATGAGCCACTGCTCCTGGTCTTAAGCCACCGTCTTAGCTTGCCTGAGTTAGTGTAAATTGCCTCCTTGTTAACTTCCCTGCTTCCAGCTTTGTCCTTTTTGACACAAGAGCCAGAATGTGACTTACAGTATATGAACCAGCTCACTTCTCTGCTTCAGATGGTCCAGAAGAGTTGTCTTAGAGACAGCCATTTTCTCCTTAAAGGGAAATGGATGTTTCAGTACCAAGAACTGGATACATAAGAAGGGCAGGAACCCCAGGATCACTTCCCATTTCATGCAGAGTGAATGCCAAACTCCTTTTCTCCCTAGCTTCGTCTCTCACCATTCTCCTCCTTGCTTACTGAGTTCTAGCCACGTGTCTCTCTGCTGTTCCTTGAAGACTCTGAGCGTCTCCTTCCTTGTTACCTCAACCTAAAATGCTCTCTTTCCAGGTATCCGTATGATTAATTCCCTCCATCAGGCCTCAGCTCCTCTGAAGTGCCTTCCCTTGTCTGCCTTATATTAAATAGCCACTGCTTTCCTTTGCACTCTATCCCCTTACCCTTGGTTCTTCTTCATAGCATGTACTATTTATTGTCTGTTTCATACAGTTAGTGTCAGGACTTTGTTCTCTGGTGAATGGCTACCCAGCAGTTAGGCATTCAATAACTATATGTTGAATGACTCAGTGGATTCCCATTTTCTTTCTTAGGGGCTTCTTCTTCTGCCTAGAGAAATGGTCTTCAGGCCACCCTCGTTCTTTAGCCTGTGGAAAATGAACACTGCGTTCTGTGTACCAAATGCTTCTACAAAGGTGATCTGTAGGGTTCTTCCCTTTTCTCACTGCTCAGATTTTTCTGTTGCATTATTCTTTACCAGTCATGCAGATGAGTCTGTTTTCTAGGTAACTTTTTCTGTGTTTGGAACTAATGCTTTCCTTTTCCTGAATTTGGTATCATTATGTAAATATGTTAACAATTTGGCACTTATTCCTTCATTCAGCTGGCAAATAATTATTGCAGCAGATACTGTGAGCCAGGCTGGGGTACCAGACTATGCTAGGGCTTAAAGAGGTGGTGAGCCGACATTTCCCTGGAGGAGCTGATGGCTCAGTGGGTGGTTGGAAGTGCCAACAGTTGGGACAGGCAACTGCTATAATGAGGAACGCAGAGAGGAAGTTGGGAACACAGGGATGGGTCAGGCAGACCTGTTCCATATGGTTAGGATTCTCAAGGGTAGGAAGCAGTTTGTCAGGTGAGGAAGCAGGCAGAGGCTGCTCTGAGAGGAAGAACAACGTGCAAAAACGCAGAAAGCTTTGCTTGTTTACAGAAGCACAAGTCAGTGACTATTGTTGGAGCGTGAAGTACAGTACAGACAGTGATGGTGGACAAGGCCACAATAGCTAGATGAGGGCCAGACCCAGATGCTTTTGTTGTTGTTGTTGAAACAGGGTCCCACTCTATCACCCAGGCTAGATTGGGCTTGCAGTGGCACAATCTTGGCTCACTGCAACCTCTGCCCCCTGGGTGCTAAAGTGATCCTCCTGCTTCAGACTCCTGAGTAGCTGGGACTACAGGTGCCTGCCACCACGCCTGGTTAATTTCTGTATTTTTGATGAGATTTCACTATGTTGTTCAGGCTGGTCTCCAACACCGGGACTCAGGTGATCTGCCCACCTCGACCTCCCAAAGTGCTGGGATTACAGGTGTGAGCTACTGCACTCGGCCTAGATCCAGATGCTTCTAAAGGACTTTGTGTTTACTATACAGAGTGAGGCTTCTATCCTTTAGCCCATGGATTCGGGGGTGTGTTCCTGAGTACAAGTGAACAGAGGCGGGTAAGGAGGTAGCCTGGAAGGTTTTTTCCTATTGTAGCTCCCTTCCTGAGTCAGGGAGAATCCAGAATATTTTCTACCATGTGGTAATTTGGTGCGGATTATTCTTTCCTTTTGATGGTAATTTCCTAAAGGATGGCAAGGTTTAATTTTTATGTATCTCCTAGCTCTTCATGGGTACATTGTGAGATAGATGCTGGTTCTAGGCTGGGTGCGGTGGCTCACACCTATAGTCTCAGCACTTTGGGAAGCTGAGGTGGGTGGATTGCCTGAGGTCAGGAGTTCGAGATCAGCCTGGACAACATGGCGAAACTCCGTCTCCACTAAAAATACAAAAATTAGCCGGGTGTGGTGGTGCACACCTGTAATGCTAGCTACTTGGGAGGCTGCAGCAGTAGAATCACTTGAACCCAGGAGGCAGAGGTTGCAGTGAGCCAAGATTGTGCCATTGCACTCCAGCCTGGGTGACAGAGAGACTTTGTCTCAAAACTAAAACAAAACGAGTTTATTTTTGGAGTACAGTGGCATGGTCTCGGCTCACTGCCACCTCTGCCTCCTGGGTTCAATCGATTCTCCTGCCTCAGCCTCCCCAGTAGCTGGGATTAAAGGTGCCTGCCACCATACCTGGCTAATTTTTGTAGTTTTAGTGGAGACAGGGTTTTGCCATGTTGGCCAGGCTGGTCTCGAACTCCTGATCTTAGGTCATCTGCGTGCCTGGATCTCCCAAAGTGCTGTGAGCCATTGCACCCAGCTAAACTTTTTTTAAATGAATGATGATTACATCACTATCTGTATCCCTGCTGTGCTTTAACTCCTTTTTTTTTTTTTTTTTTTTTGAGGTGGGGTTTCACTCTTGTTGCCCAGGCTGGAGTGCAAATGGTATGATCTCGGTTCACTGCAACCTCTGCCTCCCAGGTTCAAGCAATTCTCCTGCCTCAGCCTCCCAAGTAGCTGGGATTACAGGCATGCACAACCATGCCTGACTAATTTTGTATTTTTAGTAGAGATGGGGTTTCTCCAAGGTGGTCAGGCTGGTCTTGAACTCCCGACCTCAGGTGATCCGCATGCCTCGGCCTCTCGAAATGCTCGGATTACAGGCATGAGCCACCGTGCCTGGCTGTTTTAACTTCTTAGTATCCCATAATGTTTCTTCCTTTTATCTGCCCCATCCCTCACTTGCCAGTTTTTCTGTCAGGCAGATTAAACTCATTAAAAAGAAAAAAAAAAAAAAAAAAGGAAAACTTTGTTGCAGGAGAATTTGTTGTTTGTGCTGTCAGATGCCAGGTCCTAATGGATTTAGAAGAAGGTTGGATGGGACTCCGTCCTGAATCAGCCACTTCAGTGCTTCTTACTCACCTTTGCATTCTATATGCCTGTCGCATGTTAGAGGCTCAGTAAATGTTTGCTGAAGGAATCATCCTGTTTATTGACAGCAAGATTAAGCCTATGTTTTCATAGATAGCAAAACCTGCCCACTCTTCTACTTTGATATCCTATAATCTTTGCTTTCTATGCTCCAGACACATTATTAAACTCCTCTCCATTCAGGCAGTACTTCTAGATATTTCCACTGCCCAGAGTGCCCTTTCTCTTGTCTGGCCAACACCTGTACCCTCTTAAAAGATTTAACTCTCCTCCTTTCTGGGAAAATGAATTCTCATAAACCCATTTGGAGTTAGTTACTTCTTCCTGTGTACGTATTTTTTTTGAGACATAATTTCACTCCATCACCCAGGCCGAAGTGCAGTGGTGTGATCTCGGCTCACTGCAACCTCCACCTCCCAGGTTCAAGTGATTCTCCTGTCTCAGTCGCCCTAGTAGCTGGGACTACAGGCGTGCGCCACCATGCCTGGCTAATTTTTTGTATTTTTAGTAGAGGTGGGGTTTCACCATGTTGCCCCAGGCTGGTCTTGAACTCCTGGCCTTATATGATCTGCCTGGTTCTGAAGTGCTGGGATTAACAGGCATGAGCCACTGCTTCCCGCTTCTGTGTACATTTTTATATGGAAGTTTGTTCAGCCTCTAGACAGCTTGAAAGGTGAAAACAAACCTTATCCCTTTCTGTCTCCATCCTCATCCTTTTCTGTGTCGTGCCCAGTGTCTGGCAATTTTGCTGAATGGATGGCTTGTAAATTACTATAGGAAGGCATGATACGGCATTCTGGAAGCACACCTGAGTAAACTCTGCTAACGATTTTTAACATTCTCTATTCAGTCTAGACTAGGCTTTTGTATAGGTACGCGTGTGAGTCAGTCTGTTTTGGAATTGGTATGTAGAAGCAACATCTTTTGTAAACTTGGAAGGTTAGAAAATTCATTTTTACGGCTGGGTGCGGTAGCTCATGCCTGTAATCCTAGCACTTTGGGGGAGGCCAAGGTGGGTGGATTGCCTGAGGTTACGAGTTTGAGACCAGCCTGGCTAACATGGTGAAACCTTATCTCTACTAAAAATACAAAAATTAGTGGAACGTGATGGTGCGTGCCTGTATTCCCAGCTACTTGGGAGGCTGAGGCAGGAGAATTGCTTGAACTAGGAAGCCACAGGTTGCAGTGAGCTGAGATCCTGTCACTGTCCTGCAGCCTGGTGACAGAGCGAGATTTCGTCTCAAAAAAAGAAGTAGCTGGGTGTGGTGGTCGGTGCCCAGCTGCTTGGGAGTCTTAGACAGGAGAATCACTTGAACCCGGGAGGCGGGGGTTGCAGTGAGCCGAGATCACACCATTCCACCCCAGCCTGGGCGATAGAGCGAGACTCTGTCTCCAAAAAAAAAAAAAAAAAAAAAAGAAAATTCATTTTTACTTGGAAGGGTTTTGAGGAGGTCAGCGGTACAGTCAGGTCAGCAGTTGTCTGCCAGGAATAGGGAACTTGGTAATTGGAATGACTAGAGGCCCTTGTTTGTTCAGGGGTTCATGTGGAGATGAGGGAGTCTCCCTGAGAGTGGTAGAAGGGAATGGGGAGTAACTGAAAGAGAAGGGTTCCTGCTGGGGGAACTGGATATGGTATTTGGGAAAAATGACCTAAAGCACATAATAATTCAGTTCTGTTGACCCTACTGTCTTCTCTGCAGAACTGACCGAGCCATCATGGAGGTGGCTGAGACGGAAAGTCCTCTGAACCCCAGCTGTAAGATAATGACCTTCAGACCCTCCATGGAGGAGTTCCGGGAGTTCAACAAATACCTTGCATACATGGAGTCTAAAGGAGCCCATCGAGCAGGTCTTGCAAAGGTGATTATCCTCAAATGCTTTAAATGAAACACAATCACACGGGCTTTATATTCTTAGTTTTTATGATGTGGGACATTGTTTTCAAAGGAAGAAATTTGAAAAACCTTTGTTCTTGTTAATCCATGTGGAACATTTGATTTCTTTAAATAATGATTATCTTATTTTCCTTTTAACTATAACTGTTTATACTAGGTTGTGTTCTAAGGCTTAAAAACCGTCAAAACCAACCAAGGGTGGCTCATAGAAACCAAGGAGATCCATGTATGGGTTTCAGAGGTGTGAGAGTATTCATAGATTTCGTCAGTTTTTTTGTAGACAACAATTATTAACCTGAAGCTTAACCACAATTTCTCTCTCCCTTCCTTCTTCTTTCCTACTATGTTTTTTCTTTTCTTTTTTTATATAACAGTTATTGATATAATTTACCATATAATACACACCATATACTGCATCCATTTAAAGTGTGCAATTCATTGGTTTTGAGCATATTCACAGAATTGTGCAGCCATCACCTCTATTGAATTCCATAACATTTTTGTCATCCCTTAAAGAAAGTTCTATGCATTAAGCAGTCATTCCACATTCCCTGCTATCACCTGCAGCCCATAGGCAACCACAAACCGACTTATTCTCTCTCTACACTTGCCTGTTCTCTTTTGTTTCTGGTTGTTTACCAAATGTGGAGAGTGCCTGCTATGTGCCAGACACTATGCCAGGTGCTAGGGGTAGGGATGTGAGGGGAGCAGAACAGACAGTGTCCTTGCCCCCATGGAGTTTACATTCTAGTGGGAGCATCTTAGGATGATGAGATAAGGACATTTAAGCACAGATTCAAAGGATAAAAAGAACCCAGCTTTTTCAAGATACGGGGACAGAAAGAATAGCAAGTCCAGTGGCGCGGAGGCTGACTGGAGTTTTGTGGGTGGGAGGAATAGGAAAGTGGTCAGTGGGCTTCTCCGGCCATCGTAAGACATTTGGGATTTTAAGTGTAGAGGGAAGCACTGACAGGCTTAAATTGAGAGAGGAAGATGTGGTGGCTGTTTGTTTCTTTCTTTTGCTATTTTTGTGACATTATTTTGAACAGATCACATTGGCTCCTAGGTGAAGAATGAATTTGGTGTTGTGGGGGGCAGAGCACAAGTAAAGCATCTTGTCTGGGGTGGTTGTGTTTATATAATGAGGAGCTGATGGTGACCCAGACCAGTGAAGATGGGTTAAGTTGTCTTTGGTCCAGATATGTTTGAAAATACTCATCTTTTTCTTATTCTTACAAGTGCCAGATAACATTCTTAAAAAAAAAAAAAGATAGTGATTTAAGCATTTTGATTATGAGTGACATGCCCCGAGTCACAGGGGTGGTCAGTGAGGTGCTGAGGGACTGCATTGCACATTTGGGTGCATAGGTCCAAAGTAAGCCCTTTGAAAGAGAGATCCACTATATGATATAATTCATCATCCAACCTGAGATGGTTTGTGTGTCCCTTCTATAATGTAAATCTATTTTAATTAAAAAATTTCCCTTGGAAGAATATATTTGATTGCACTTATTTCAATTTATTATTGTTCTAAATGTTAAATTTATAATCTGGGTTTCTGTAGTCTTCTCAGTATCACTGCATAAATCCCTGAGCCCTGCTGCAAGGCCAAACTACTGTACTGCATTTGTGTAAAGGATTCTCCTTGAAATCCCCAGCTGTAGAGGTCAGATAGCATGGACAACACAAGGTAGCTGAGGAGAGAACTTCCAGATCTATTGGGATTGGTGTTCAACTCCTCCTGCAAATGGACCTGATGCTACTGTAACCCACTGCTTTACTGTTTCTGGCATCTGTCCCCTGAGGCCTGTCATTATGTTGTGTATTTTTTTTTTTTTTTTTTTTTTAAGATGGAGTTTTGTTCTGTCTCCTAGGCTGGAGTACAGAGGCTCGATCTCAGCCCACTGAAACCTCTGCCTCCCAGTTTCTTTTCTTTTTTTTTAAAAAATTTTAATTAATTAATTAATTAATTATTTTCAGACAGAGTCTCGCCAGGCGCCAGGCTGGAGTGTAGTGGCACAATTTTGGCTCACTGCAACCTCCGCCTCCCGGGTTCAAGCAATTCTCTTGCCTCAGCCTCCCGAGTAGTTGGGACTACAGGTGCATGCCACCATGCCCAGCTGATTTTTGTATTTTTAGTAGAGACAGGGTTTCACCATGTTGGCCAGGATAGTCTCGATCTCTTGACCTCATGATCCGCCCACCTTGGCCTTTCAAAGTGCTGGGATTACAGGCTTTAGCCACCATGCCTGGCCTGCCTCCCAGTTTCAAGTGATTCTCCTGCCTCAGCCTCCAGAGTAGCTGGGATTATAGGCGAGTGCCACCATGCCTGGCTAATTTTTGTATTTTTAGTAGAGATGGAGTTTCACCATATTGGCCAGGCCGGTCTCAAAGTCCTGACCTCAAGTGATCTGTCCGACTTGGCCTCCCGAAGTGCTGGGATTGTAGGTGTGAGCCACTGTGCCCAGCCATGTATCTTGTTAAAGTTCATGTCCTTCCTAGACAGTTTTTTGTTTTTCTTTTTTTAAAGAGACGGGGTCTTGCTATGTTGCCCAGGCTGGAGTACAGTGGCTGTTCACAGGCGCGATCCCGCTACTGATCAGCATGGGAGTTTTGACCTGCTCCATTTCTGGCCTGGGCTGGTTGACCCCTCCTTAGGCAACCTGGTAGTCCCCCACTCCCCGGAGATCACCATATTGATGCCCAACTTAGTGCAGACATCTGATCAGCATAGTGCACTACAGCCCAGAACTCTTGGACTCAAGTGATCCGCCAGCCTCAGCCTCCTGAGTAGCTGGGACTACAGGCATGCGCCACCGCGTCTGGCTTGTTTTTCTGTTTTTTGAGATAGGGTCTCACTTTGTTACCCGAGCTGGAGTGCAGTGATGTGATACTGGCTCACTGCAGCCTTCACCTCCTAGGTTTAAGCAATCCTTCTTCCTCAGTCCTGCAAGTAGCTGGGATTACAGGTGTGCAACACCATGCCAGGCTAATTTTTGTATTTTTTAGGTTTCACCATGTTGCTCAGGCTGGTCTTGAACACCTGGACTCAGTGATCTGCCTACCTTTGGTCTCCCAAAGTGCTGGGATTATAGGCATGGGCTCCTGGCGCTATCCTAGAAACGTTTTAAAATTTGGGAATATTAATTTGAGTGAAAATTAATTACGGTGGGTGAGGGAGAGAGGAAACAAGATAAAGAGAAAACAAAGGGAAAACTAAAGCTTTTTTTTTTTTTTTTTTTTTTTTTTTTTAAAGGCAGGGTTTCACCATGTTGGTCAGGCTGGTCTTGAACTCCTGACCTCAGGTAATCCGCCTGCCTTGGCCTCCAAAGTGCTTGGATTACAGGCCTGAGCCACCACGCCCCGCCAAAACTAAAGCTTTTTAATGACTTTCTGAAATGAGAAAGTTTACTTTAACTTCTTTATTAGATTAGCTCATTAAAAAAAAAAAAAAAATCTCATTTGGGCCGGGTGTGGTGCTCACACCTATAATCCCAGCACTTTGGGAGGCAGAGGTGGGCAGATCAGTTGAGGTCAGGAGTTAGAAACCAGCCTAGCCAATATGGTAAAACCCTCTCTTTACCAAAAATACAGTTTTTAGCCAGTCGTGGTGATGGGTACTTGTAGTCCCATCTAATGGGGAGGCCGGGCCAGGAGAATTGCTTAAACCAGAAGGTGGAGGGCAGAGGTGGGGGATGACCATCTCTTCTCTGGGCTCTGAATGCAGCCCTTTGTCCTGGTCTCTCCCACTTTTGTTTCTTGAAAGCATGTACTGTGTTCCGCTGAGATTAGTAGAGTGTCCTGTGGTAGGGTGGCACGTTCAGTAACTTTAGAAGAGGAAACAGCAGCTACTGTCGCAAGGGAGCTGCATGCACACAGAGCACACCTGCGCCCTGTTTGCATTATGTAACAGAGTAAAGTTAATGAGAACTATGATTACAAAACACACTTGAGTCCAGACCACGCCTCATTTTTAAAATTGAGACTCATTGACAAAGTTGGAGACATTCATTTATTTAATCCTTTAATAATATCCTATTACTCATTATTAGGAATACAACAAACTGTTTCAAGTCATTTTTGCCATCTTTGATGTCGAGTCACATAAGCTCAAGTTTACCGACTTTCCCTCTTGTTCTGGAAGTTGCAATACTAGCAAATGTATAAAACTGTACCAAATCAAATCACATTGTAAAAATCAAGACTGCATTAATGAAGCTGGTTTGCTTTGGGGGCTAGTCCTGGGGAACTGAGCCACCCATGATGTTCTTTGTTAATGCACTATTTTTTTTTTTGGCAGGGTCTTGCCCTATTACTCAGGCTTGAGTGGTACGATCATGACTCACTGTAGTCTTGACCTTCCAGATTCAAGCAGTCCTCCCACGTCAAACCTCCCAAGAAGGTGGGACTACTCACGCCTGGCCAATATATATATATATATATATTTGTAGAGTTGGAATCTGCTGTGTTACCCAGACTGGTCTTGAACTCCTGAGCTCAAATGATCCTCCCACCTTGGCCTCCCAAAGTGCTGGGATTACAAGCATGAGCCACTGTGCCTGGCCTGTTGATCCACTATTGACAACGTTTAATGAATTGGTCTTAATTTATGATTTGAAGAAATTGGTCCAGTAGTTCCAATAGTAGTGACTTTAGCCTCAGATGACAGCCTGTCTTGGTTTTCCTTTTTTTTTTTTTTTTTTTTTTGAGATAGAGTCTCTTTCTGTCGCCAGGCGCCAGGCTGGAGTGCAGTGGCACGATCTCGGCTCACTGCAACCTCCACCTCCCGGTTTCAAGCAATTCTCCTGCCTCAACCTCCCAGGTAGCTGGGATTGGTTTTTCTTTTGTCCATTTCTTAGATTCATGCTTTAGATTTAACATTTGCTTTTAGAGTAGAAGGCTTGACACTGTGACTGTCTGTAAAGTTGGTACTCCAAGTTGGGAAAGTGAAAAGTGGCAGTGTCTTTAAATGTAAAACTTGTACTGTTTTTGTGGAAGGAGATTATGATGAACCTTTTTTATATATGAAGTGGGTGAAATTTGTCCCCAACAGAAATCTGAACGTAGGTTGTTGTGGACCATAGGTTATACACTCATGTAGTTTCATAAAGAGCTTATAGAGTGCAAATTACCTTTGCCCACAAGGTAAAGAAAGATTGTAAGAAGCACCACTATCTTCCTCATCCTTCCTCACTAGGTAGGTAGTAAAAATAGCAATTTATTTCAAAGTAAGTAGTGCAAATGCAGATTTTAGCAAAAAATTTCCCATAGGGAATAGGGGTCAGGCTGGTTTGCGGGGATGGTTATAAAAAAATGTATACTCAGTTTTTTTTTGTTTTTTATTTTTTTATTTTTTTTTTGAGACGGAGTTTCGCTCTTGTTACCCAGGCTGGAGTGCAATGGCGCGATCTCGGCTCACCGCAACCTCCGCCTCCTGGGTTCAGGCAATTCTCCTGCCTCAGCCTCCTGAGTAGCTGGGATTACAGGCACGCGCCACCATGCCCAGCTAATTTTTTGTATTTTTAGTAGAGACGGGGTTTCACCATGTTGACCAGGATGGTCTCCATCTCCTGACCTCGTGATCCACCCGCCTCGGCCTCCCAAAGTGCTGGGATTACAGGCTTGAGCCACCGCGCCCGGCCTTATATACTCTGTTTTGATATAATCAGGAAGGCGAACTTTAGGAGGAATGGCCTTCCCTCATTTAGATTCACTAAATGTAAAGATTTAACTTTGGAATCTTTTAAACACCTCAGTATGTTGTGTTTTCCTATTCAAGAAAATCTGATGTTTTAGGATTTCAATTTATAGTTCAAAAATAAGATTTTTGTTATAGACCCGAACTTCTGAAAAAATATTCCATTCAAACTCTTTAATTGAAATTAAATGAACTTGTACACAAAAAACACAAGGTAATATTTGGAGTTTTTTAAGTTTATTGTATGCCTTGCTTCTTTGTCTTTAGAAAATTGCGGCCGGGCGCGGTGGCTCACACCTGTAATCCCAGCACTTTGGGAGGCCGAGGCGGGTGGATCACGAGGTCAGGAGATGGAGACCATCCTGGTCAACATGGTGAAACCCCGTCTCTACTAAAAATACAAAAAATTAGCTGGGCATGGTGGTGCGTGCCTGTAATCCCAGCGACTCAGGAGGCTGAGGCAGGAGAATTGCCTGAACCCGGGAGGCGGAGGTTGCGGTGAGCCGAGATCGCGCCATTGCACTCCAGC